CTCCGGGACTCTTCGACAACGCGCCGGCATTCTCCGGCACTCTCCGGCAACTCTCCGGCACTCTCCGGCACTCTCCGGCACTCTCCGGCACTCTGCGGCACTCTTCGGCACCTCTCCGGCACTCTGCGGCACTCTCCGGCACTCTCCGGCACTCTCCGGCACTCTGCGGCAACTCTCCGTCACTCTCCGGCACTCTCCGGCACTCTGCGGCACTCTACGGCACTCTGCGGCACTCTGCGGCACTCTGCGGCACTCTGCGGCATCTCTCCGGCACTCTCCGACACTCTGCGGCACTCTCCGGCACTCTGCGGCAACTCTCCGGCACTCTACTGCACTTAACAACACGCAACGGCACTGTACGGCCTCCGATAAGGCTCGGAAACACTTGAAAAACGCGCAAAAACGATCGATAACGCTCGAAAACGCTCGAAGAACACTCGAAAATGCTTGAAAAAGCTCTAGAACGCGTGAAAACACGCGAAAAACGCTCGATGACGCTCAAAAACCGATCGATAACGCTCGATAACGGTTGAAAACGCTCGGTAACGCTAAAAAACGGTCTAAAAATGCTCGAAAACGCTCGAAACCGCTCTGAAAATGATCGAGAGACACTCAAAAACAGTCGAAAACGCTCGAAAACGCTCGAAAAACGCGTGAAAACGCTCGAAAAACGCTCTAAAACCACACGAAAACGCTCGAAAAACGCGTGAAAACGCTCAAAAAACGCTCTGTAATTATCCAGAAATGCTCGAAAACGTTCGAAAACTGTCGAAAAACGCTCGATAACGCTAGATAACGCTCTAGGAACGCTTGAAAACGCTCGAAAAACGCTTGATAACGATCGAAAACACTAAAATATCACTCAATAACACTCGAAAACGCTCTGAAAATGCGTGAAAACGCTCAAAAAACGCTCTGTAATTATCGAGAAATGCTCGAAAACTATCGAAAAACGCTCGATAACGCTAGATAACGCTCGAAAACGTTCGAAAACGTTCAAAAACGCTCTAGAAACGCTTGAAAGCTCTCGATAACGCTAGTAGGGAAATGTAAAAATCATACGCGAAATGACTCAGCTTATATCCGCGGCTAGGGAGGATTTTTCGCTGCATTCGGCTCTCACGCATACTCGTTATGAGTGTAGCGCCGAACGCACTCATACTCACGCCTCGACCCGTAGCTTGGCGCTTGGCTGGTTGGGACGCGCGAAGATTTCTAGGAGCGATCGCACTCACGCTGATTCGCTGCATGAGAGTTCCGTACGCGACACCGACGCGTGCCCCAAAGCTCCGCATCATGTCGACTTCGTGGCATGAATGTACTTAATAGTAGTAGATAAGTAGATAAAGTCAATTGGAGCGTCACGAGTGGTTCTTCTCTTACCATCAAAAGCGAGCAGTATCGGAAAGCGTAGGTAAGCCACCACCGTCAACTGCCGCATGGTATTACCATCACGAGTATGTGAGCCGCCAACAGCGACTGATAGATGGCACCGCCATCTCGAGTGCGCGAGCCCCTACCAGAAATTCGTTTCGCCGCCCTTGGGGGTAAAAAACGGTGAAAGCTAACATACGAAACCAGAGGGCAGTACAGGATGCGATCGCACGATCCTGCCCGTGAGCAATCTCCCAACTCATCTCTGTCTGCTGCTTCATTACAGCAGAGATTCTGATTACAGCTAATCAGAACCTCTTTTTATGCTTCGTTGCTTGTCGCTCTAGCGCTAATGAAATATCGGCCTAACAAGGAGTGCGTCTATGGTAAATGTAGATCAGTTTCGCTAGGAAGCCGCTAGGTGATAACTCGCATGGAAAAACTGTGAATCTCCAGCTTTTATTTATATTTGCATCATGTACCAATGAAGAGGGTGGTAAGGGGCGGTAGCGTCCTGTGGTGGCGTCTCAAATTCCAAGAAACTTGTTCGTGACAGTTCATGAGTTTCAACTGCATGGTACGTAAATAGTAATTAATAAGTTGTAAAACGTATATTGAGATATGTTCTACTTAAGTACCTACGTAATAGCTTAATGTATTTTATTCTGATCATAGAGGTAAATAATTATTACTATCCATGTTATTGTAATTCTAGTATTTAATTATGTTTATTTCATATACGTACAATCTTAAAATGCCTTAAGGTTATTACAATACTCATTTTTTCCTATAATTAAGTTATTGAACATGGGCGAACCTCAAAATATCCCAAACTCGAGTGACAAAATGGAAAATATGGAAAAGGGGGTTGAATCGCTATCGATAGAGGAAGAGTTTGTAATGAAAAAACCTACTTGCCTTATTGTACTCGGAATGGCTGGTTCTGGCAAAACAACTTTTGTGAAAAGAATTGTTTCTAAATTATTTGAAACTAGCAAACCGTATGTCATTAATTTAGATCCCGCTTGTGCAGAAGTTCCTTATCCAACTAATATTGGTATGTAATGACTGCTTTTTCTATTAATATAAATGAATTTCAAAATTTCTCTATAATCACATACCTTTTTTATTTTTTTTTTTTAGATATTAGAGATACAGTGAATTACAAAGAAGTCATGAAACAATATAATCTGGGTCCTAATGGTGGCATCGTTACAACATTGAACCTGTTTGCAACAAAGTTTGATCAGGTTATGGACCTAATTGAAAAGGCAGGAAAGGAGCACGATTATGTAGTATTGGACACCCCGGGACAGATAGAAGTATTCACATGGTCGGCGAGTGGAGGAATTATAACGGACACTCTAGCTTCTCAATTTCCCACGATTATCATATATGTGATGGACACTACCAAAAGTGTTAATCCTGTTACATTTATGTCTAATATGCTGTATGGTTGCTCGATCATCTATAAAACAAAATTACCATTTGTTATTGTAATGAACAAGGTAAGAGCCAAAGAAATAAACATTACATTTTTTTTCTATTCTAAAGGCTGATTATATTTAATTAAATAATAACGATTACAGACTGATGTTATTGACCACAAATATGCAGTTGAATGGATGCGCGATTTTGAGTCCTTCCAAGAAGCTCTTGATTCTGAAACCAATTACATCGGTAATCTAACCCGCAGTATGGCCCTTGCACTAGATGAGTTTTATCATGATCTTCGTAATTGTGGCGTGTCTGCATTAACTGGAGCTGGAATACCTGAATTTTTTAAACATGTAGAAGAAGCTGAAAAGGAATATGTAGAGTAAGTTTAGCATGAAATCGTTATTTTCACTAGCAATTATTTAAGCCAGATTGATCATTAATATAATATGTTTTATTAGAATTTATAGAAGAGAGTGGGAGTACCGGAAAAGGAAGCAACGGGAAGAAAAAGAAGCAAAGAAGAAGCAACTTTCCAATGTTGCCAAAAATGAGGGGAGCTCATCACTTGTATCTTCAGTGAGCAGTGGGAGAGAGATCTCTGATGTTTACTTAAAACATCCTGGCAACGAATCGAGTTCAGATGATGAAGGTACTGAAAATGTGATGGGACAAGAAGACCCAGAGAAACGCGAAGAAGAATCATTTAATGAGTTCATACAAAGTAGAAAACAAGACCAAGAAAACCGTGCTTCCCAGCAACATCAGATCTCAAGTTCGTCTAAAGATTCACTTCCATGAAACTAGTATCATGTTCATTTTAATAATGAAAACGTCACAGTTAGGATGGATTTCTACTATAAGTATAAATTTTAAAAACGGTAAATTTCATACATAGAGATATGAATCACAAAGGTAAACCGAAATCAAAATTCGAGGATACCGTGTATAAGATTACGGCCGTACACTCCCCTACCTAATTTAAATATACAGGTTAAGACTCAGAGAGGCTCAGACGTCCGGATTAAGAACCTTACCAAACCCAAAGAATTGGTCACCTCAATAAGTTCTATTGTTTTCTTTCACCCACACTCTGATTTTTAAGTTAAAGGCATGACTCATACTTCCAGCAACATAAATTTACATATATTAAATGTTAATCTACATCTATTATTCTTTTATTTTATCGGTTCTACTATTCGTCATTTGATTAACGAGATACCCACCGAGTACTTATTTTCGACACACCTTGAATAATGTTAAAATTGTTTAAGAAAATGTTAGACTGCAGGGACAAATATTACAAGGAAAATTTTAAAATAATTTTCCTAGAATCAAGTCTGTTTTTAATCAAGTTTAGAAATATTATTATACGTACATGTAAGAGATTTAGTGTAAGCAGAATGGATGGATTTTACTTATTTTCAGCATAATATTAAAAATGATATAAATATAGCCATTCTATGAGTTGTTTAAAATCTACAGTTCCCTTAAAAGTCCTAACGTATCTTACATAACAGATCATTATAAGCGTAAAATAAGTGACTTTGTACATTTTTCATTTGCACCTATAATGTAAGGTACACTTAAATTTCATTCCACAATCAAACGCGCGAGTTGCACCATTCCTTATCTAATATAAATATAATCGTATACTACATAAAGTACTAAAGTTAACATCAATGAATTATCTTATCAGGTTATTAAAGTAGGAAGAAAATGCAAAGAGGTAATTGCATTATCTCTAAATCGCAAGTGTTAAATACAAGTCAAATAAATCCACTCTGACACAGTTATGTACAGTAGTCAAAAAGCATACAACCTCTGTTCATCAATAATCGAATTCTTTACGTTGTTCTGTTATTTTTTTGTTGTAAAGAAATTATCAATCAGTAGAAAGTGGTTGCGAACATTCACAAGGAGTGGCCGGTGCTGGCAACAAGTACCCGTCCGGATCTAGAAGATCCGGCGACCGAATGGTAATTGGTCCTTGGGGTGGTCGTGGTAAACTTCCCTTTTGACTTAGTACTTCTTGATCGCTCTCCAGCTTCTCCAGAATGTCACTAAACTTTAGCCGATCTCGGGGCTCCAGTTTCCAACAGTCCCGCATTATTTTGCAGATGAATGTTGGACATTCGCTTGGTGGAATCAAAGTAATACCTTGAAGTATCAGTTTCACCACCTTAAGCGGAGCAAAAGTTCGGATTAAAGATTGTCGAGTTTAAGCTCTTCAAGGAATGCGATTTAATGGAAATCGTACCTCTTCGTTATTGTGTCCGTAATATGGTTGCTTTCCATATGAATACACTTCCCAAAGGACGACACCAAAACTCCAAACGTCACTTTCGAGCGTGAAGCGTCCATACATGACGCTTTCTGGTGACATCCATCTGACGGGCAACAAGCGAGATCCTCCTATCTACGGTAGAAAAAATTTGTTCACCCGTAAATATATTTATTCTAAAATATTCAACCGCCCACTATAGAATGAATATGCGATAGCCTTGAATGTTACATTTATATGAACATGGCACGAACGAAAATGCTTCGTAACGTTAAAGTGAAGTGAAACCCCCCCTCAAATCAGTCGATTCAAATACGACACTTTTTTTTAAGGGTATTCGATATAACTGTCCGAAACTTTGACACGTATCTCGTGAGCACCTAGGAATTATCCTGACACTTTCAAAATTTCGATTTCTTAACAGAGTTTGTTAACTTAGCCCAGACCAAAGTCAAAATGGCGTCGCGCTCTCATATTTATATAGATATACAATTATTGAAGGCTTTAATATGAGAAACGAAAGTATCAGAAAAATTGTACGATCATTCAGAACACTCCGGTAACCGATAAACTCGCATTTGAACGGAATAAAAGCAAAAAAAAGTGTCTTATGCGCTTCCACGCTAAAACGATGGTAATATGAGGTCTAGGAGTAAAAATTTAGTTGACATGGAAATTACAGATGGCACAGGGGGTCCCCAGATTAGGGCCTCGGAAACCGTGAATCCAGGGGATTTCTGGAGTTTTACTTCGATTTCTTGATAATTATTGTACGAAAACGACAGGTCGAGTATGCCATTTAGAACAATACCCAATTAATTCGACACAGCTTTAAATGTAAAAAACGAACGTCGAGAACGTAGGTATTTAAAAAAATCTTCTTCACCGACGTCGATAAAGTTCCTCGAAATGTTTCACTTCACCTTAAATGTAGACTTGACAAAACGATTTAACTTTCACTGAAGTAAGTACCTTATAATAGTCACAGGTATATACGTCTCTGGACATTCCGAAATCTGCAATTTTGACCACTAGGTCTGCTCCTACTAGACAGTTGCGACAAGCCAGATCTCGATGAACAAATCTTTGAGCCGACAAATATGCCATGCCGGACGCGATTTGTGTCGATATCCATAGAAGGGATTCCTACGTTGAATTCAGTAGAGTTAAGACATGTGTTAAGGTGAAAAAGATTTGTATAATAATAGTAGGATTTAAGATTTTCGAAGGTAACCTTCGTCAAGGGTTCCAGCCCGGGTTTAGCGGATCCAAACTGCCGCGAATTCAATCTCAAAACTTCCGCCAGGTCACCATGAGGCATGTATTCGAAAACCATCCATGGACTATTATCAGCATCTCGGAGGACAACTCCTATCAACGATAAGATATTTTCATGCTGAAAAGCGGACATAATGTCCACTTCTCGCATGAAGTCCTCCTCCGCTTCGCGCGATGCCGAATCCTTCAGCACCTTTACGGCAACCACTTCCGTCTTATCACCAAAACACAATTCACCTAAAATATGAAAATATGAATGATAATTCCATTATTTATACAATTTCACCACTCATCAGATATTTGCTGGCACATTTATACGTCCCTACAATCTCTGATTAAGAATGAAAAAAATGTGAAAGACAAAAATAAATCAATATGCTTCCGTTTATCCTATTTTGAGTTTATGCGGTAATGTTACTTTTTTGGAAGACTTCTGTAATATAATAATTTTACAGGCTACGTCCTCGTTCACTTACCTTTGTATACCTTCCCGAAACAACCTTCCCCGATATCGTGTAAAAATACAAGGCAGCTTCGATGTAATATCGGGACTTCTGGCATAGTACAGGAAAAATACTGTGGATTCGGCGTGTACTTATTCGCCAACAAAAGACCTTTCTTGAGGTTCATCGGCGATGCCTAAAATTGGAAAAAAATATGTTCATACTCGTTATGAATTAATCCATGGCAGTCGGAAGGTTATTACGTACGTTTATGGAGTTTCGTTGCATTTTTGCGATGTAGCTGCGCCGTTTGCAGCAACATATGATGCCGATTAGAAATATTATTACGAAGATGGAAGCCATTGCGATGCCAACTATTTCGGAGACTTTTTGCGGCGATCGGTCTACCTGAAAGAAGAGGTACTTTACTCTACTGCATATTTACAAGGGGAGGGAAAAAGAAAGTACATGAGTTTTCATTACTATTCTTACTTGTTTGGCTTCCGGAAGGGTTGTGGTTGTTGCGTTGGTGCCATTACCACCAGCTAGTATAATATTATGTATAGGTCGAGGTGTCAGAGGAACTGAAAAATAAGCAGGTATCACAGATAAAAGTTTAAATCATATCAATTATTATTGAATTTCGTTGGGCAAAGCGTATGTAATTTACAGTTCTCCATTAAACCATGTACTGTATTGCATACGCTTGTATCATGCAGAAGTGGTATTATGCCCGCCTGATAAAGACACGTGATGTATATCACATACTGGAGAAGGAAAGTACAAATAACATGTTATTCATAATTGTGTCCTAAATTCATTAAAATTGGGTACAAATTGAATGTTTTCCAGATTCCTGCAGACGACCCGTCAAAGTCCTTTCCTCTATCTTCTATGTGTAGTACATTTTTCCATATAACTGTGATAAGCAGCTCGATATAAGTAATTTTTACCCACTTTAGAATACCCGCTTACTTGTAATCTGTTTTGAACTGATTTAAATGTACTTTCAACCTAGTCACTACAATATAACCAATATTTAATTTAGAACGAGACATAAGACACAAATACATTCGCGACTGCTGACGTGAATTCACGTCTTTTCAAGTTCTATTCCTGATTGCCGTTGACGTTAATCACGTCCATGACGATACACGATACAAGTTTGCGGCGACCAGTTTCAGAATTTCATTATTTTCGCCGGTACTCAGTATTTGAAACGGAAACAATTTGCCGGTCGCGAATGTGTCAAGAATAAACAGATTCGAAATTATCTCCAATTAAGGTGAAGTGAAACACGTCGAGGAACTTGATCAACGTCGATGAAGCCGATTTTTCTAAATGCCTACGTTGCCGACGTTCGTTTTTATATTGACAGCTGGGTCGAATTATATTGTGTATTGTACCAAATGGTATATTCCACCTGTCGTTTTCGTACAATAATTATAAAGAAATCGAAGTAAAACTCCAGAAATTCTCTGGATTCATGCTTTCTGGGGCCCTAATTCACTGCGGAGGGACCCCCTGCGCCATCTATGATTTCCAGGTCAATTAAATTTTCACTCCGAGACCTCGTATTACCATCGTTTTAGCAAAGAAGCGCATACAACATTTTTTTTACGTTTATCCCGTTCAAATGCGAGTTTATCGATTATCAGAGTGTTCTAAATTGTCGTAAAATTGTCGTGACCTTTTCGATTCTGATATCAGAGCCTTCGATAATTGTATATCGATCGAAATATGAGAGCTCGACGCCATTTTGCTTCTGGTCTGGACTGAGTTAAAAAATTTCTTTGAAAAATCCAAATTTTGAATGTGTCAGGACAATTCTTAGATGATCAGGAGTGATGTGCCAAAGTTTCGGACAGTTCGGTCTAATACCCTTAAAAAAAAGTGTTGTATTCGAATCGACTGATTCGAAGAGGGTTTCACTTCACCTTAATATCGGTTTATTGTATGCTTTTCTTTTTTTAATTCGATGACAATGACTTTTATGTACTATTCTATTCTAACTTTGATTATAGCTCGTAGTTAATGTTTACTAATGCACGATTGTTCTTAGGCGATTACGTTATTCTTACCGATGAGGCGATTGGGACATTTCAGATCGCTGGTTGGGGGAGACGAGTCGTGGGGACAAACGCATATGGAGGTATTGTTTTCAAAGCTGCGACAAGCCGCCTCCTTCCCGCAAATGTGGGGTCTGGAACGGCATTCTATAATTTTTTGGTCCCCGAACGCTGGCTGCAACCTCGAGATGATGTCGGCCTGTTTGTCGGGCTGCGGAGGGTCTGAAACATCCATTCGACCACGTTAAAACATCACACAGGAGCGACATCCTCTCAATATTACATTTGACTGATTGTTCCGTCACCGCGAAGACATACAGATGTTCACTTAAGGTGATGTGAAAGTGCCGTCGAAGAGGTTCCGTTCATGAAACTTTTCTCCGAATTGGGTTCACCGAATCGTTTAAAACTTCACTACCTGAACATGGAGATTATAAGGGAGGTTCTGAAATCTCATGAAGTTAAATTTATTTTTTTTTTTAATTTGTTTATAGGTATTTTAAAAATTTTTTATAAGATATGAAAGTTCATGGGTGTCGGGATCTTTCTTGTAGCCTACATGTTCACGTTGTTAAGTTTGAAAGTGAAATTAAAAGAGAGGGTGAAAAGGCATGGGAAATATTTATTTTACTTGGAAATAATTGTTGATCTTTTATAGAGAATTTAAGATAAAGAACATTTTAATGTTTAAAAATTACGGATTTGTGGATAGTAGAGATTTCGCAGTTTTTTTAGGACAATTTTTCTTCGAAGTATATCAACGACCAGAGAAGAAGAAAACGAAAAAGTAATTTCCATTGACTTTTTCTGTGTTGCTGGAATCTGAATTCGTGCCATCGGTTTTAAAATAATACTTTTTAGTTCCTAAAGCCACCTTTACTTTTTCTTTCAGACTTATCGCTCTTCTAAAATTATATACGGTATAAAAAAGATCGCAAATATCCAACCCCTACAAGTCTATTATTTTGAATGATTTTAAAACTTTATCTTAAATTCTCGGTAAAGCATTAAATAAAACAATCCCTTAAGCAGATATTTCCTATACATTTTCATGTTCTGATAAACTCATTTCCAGTAAAATAAATTGTTACAACTTACTGATCGTCTGAAAAGCATTTATTTTTACCCACAGGCAATAGATAAAATCCCGGAGCTTTAATCGTACCGTTAACACAATGAAAGCCTCGAGAGTTTTTTTCGTTTATATTTTCGGGATTTCGTGGAACATGGTCTCGTAAAAATCCACCATGAAATTCTGACATCCGGGGCCGGAGAAAAAGTTGATTTGCGAGGGTTTTGCGACGGATCCAATTGTACCGTTTAATGCCCCGTTTGGCGCGGACTTAGGGCCTTAAGTGCAAAAAGGATAACTCGGAAAGAGACGACTCCTTACGTATGGGGAATTTTTGCCGTTGTAGGTGGATGCTGCTGGTCCCGTCGACGAGAGACCGCTGACCGCGGAGATAACGCCTTGACCCGTTACAAGCCCTGAGCATCAAATGAATGCCTTCACTGTCTCTATCCCCTCGAACTCGATCCAAATATGTGGCCCTTAGCTTCCCTTCTCTTTTCTCTCGGCTACTTTGCCATTTTGCTATATTCCTCGGATTGGGCGATATTAAAATAAATCTCACCTGCCGTTTCTCCGCCATTTTGTCTGTAAGCCTAAAACCGCTCAATCGGCACCACACCCTCTGACCACGTACAAACATTAATTCCACACACTTCTTTCAATGATAATCATCCGAAAATGAAACCTCGAAGATCTGTTTTAATTCAATAACGAGGATAATTAAAATATTGAAGTTCCTTCCTTCTTTTTACGGTTTAGGGCAACCCATTGTGGACGACTTCAGTCCCACTAGTTGGAAATGAGTTTTGAGACATCCGTATTTATTTTCTGATAATAACTAGAAGTCGTTGATGCGTCATTCTGTACGAGTGGTAAGAACTGGAGATGCGTTATGAAATAATTTTAATAAATGACTAAATTCCTAGGTTGGACCTTGTTACTCAGAACTTTGTCGTATCGTCGATCATTGTATAGGCAGTAATCGATGTGATTTATTATTTAACGTGCAGGGCAGATCGTAGATGGAGGAGGCTATATGAAAAAGTAAGACTCGGTACGCAAGGATTATGAAGCTTCTAGTTCCTACGGTCTAGCTACAAAGCATCTTTCATGAGATATCTTAAACGTCGGACAGCAAAGTACCTACTTTACGTTACCAACCGTTCATTTGGATGACTTAAGATCGATGTTCGCGATACCGCGTTTATGAAAAACTACAGAGGGGTATTTAAAGCATATGGCAATGTGAGCTCCTCTCGTTAGCGTAATTAATAGTACGCAAGATGGACGCGATAAGAAAGCTATTAACATTAACGGAACGAAGCTTTCTGTAAATTGCTTCTCGTGAATCTCTTCATTTCGGCGGATGAAAATTAACGACAAGGAAAAAATATCTAACAATCATTTTCTCTTGCAGAAAAAGTTAAATTAATCTTAAAAATATCCCTGGCACGGCAATACGCGTTTTCACTTATTCAGATACTTCAACTCGGTACAATGTGTGTTTTATCATTTGTGCGTCATCGCTCCTCTATTCCCACCCTGCAATAATAAAAGTTTCCTACTCTCAAACTAGCCAGTAGACTAAGTTAATGGAATAAAATAAGTCAGCTTCTTCGTTAAGAAGAAGAAATGTAGAAAAGTGTAGGTACGCCAACGACTCGACAATTTTCTCGATCGCTGTAGCACGCATTTAACGTTACATTATAAGTTACGTTGCTTTAACAAGGCACCGTTTATGTCATTTTTAATTCTCGTTATTTGCAACATGTCAGTGTCTTTACCTTAGTGTGACTAATAAGATAATATAAGGTAAAAGGAATGCTCAAAGGGCAATTTTAATCTTCTACCTTATCGCGAAAGTCTCGTTAAGTGTCTTTCGTACTATGATGTAGACTTTGAACGCCTAAAGCCAGCTAATAGTAATGCGCTTATAAAGTTCCCCGAATTTGGGTGGTATCCTTTTACTGCACTTCTCACGGGTCCCCTCATTTTGATGTGTGAATGCCGAAACAAGTTAAAGTCAAGCTTATCCTTCAAGGGATAAAAAAACTCCAGCTCTACGTTCAAACGAAACAGGGTTTTTTGTGCGATGTATTGATAAGCCCAGAGGAAGAAAAAGAGATAGAGAAGGAGAGAGATTTAACATCAAAGAGTCTGCAACTAAAAGCCCCGTTATTTTCTAGAATGGCATATTTACTGCTCACTGCTTCTTCGAAACGTAAACAAACAATGACCAGTGCTAACTGGACTTTGCATGAGAGAAGCACTGTTAAGGGGTAAAAGCCTTCATGTCTTCGTCTTGACGATGCTTTAAACTCGAAACATTATGTTTATTTACATTTTGCTACCGTTATCTCTTTACTTACAGTTTTACACGGCCACTGCAATGACTACTTTCAATAACTATTATACACCACATGATTGAAAATGTGCAGAATCCGGTGAAAATTCCCGGAATTTTCCTGACCACTTTTCATGACCTCTTGTAAATTCTGTATATTTAATTGAACTCGTCGCGCAATTTTTCCCTAAAATCTACCTTTTCGTTGCAATTATGGCGTACTTGAGTTTTACTAAAGTGTAATAAAAAAAAAATGACGGCAATTCTCGGCGCGCTCTGCGTAATAGAAACAATCATCCACTCGGTAACTGTAAATATCATTAATTTCGTGTACTTATCGGCGTTATTGATACTGCTCTCGTCGTAAGAATTCTTTCTCTCGGGCCGTTTAGTAAAAATAAAGGCGATCCACGTGGACTGGACGTGCGTCGCATAATTTCTTTAGATAAACGGAGCATCGATAGCCACAGGTCGAGACCGTCGGGCGATTATTTTTTGCTGGAAAACTAAATGCTACTAGCTTTTCCAGGGATTAGATACGATAAGTTTTATCGGACGGGTGCACGTTATTACTTTTACTGGCGATTAGTTCCGTCCGAGGGGAAGCTAGGGTGGACTTTGTTTTTTCCCCAAGGGACTGTCAGGGATACTAGATAAGAAGTCACTTTAAAGGAATGCCGACTGACAACGGTAACAAGATTTATTAGAGACCTTGTCGCGCAAATCTAACGTTGCAAAAAAGCACCGATATCTCGATGTTAACGACCCGTGACGAGCGATGAGACGCTCGTGAATTCCAAGAGAAGAAGAGTTATCATTTTGACAATCTTTTATAAATGATATTACCTGCGTGAGACTCCTCGGAAACGAAACGAGCCCTCAGTTTCGATGCTCTTCTGATGTCCATCTTTCTCGGGAGACTTATTTCCTTCGACCTGCTCCGCTCGTCCTTCGTGTGATTTCTAGTCGTCCGCTCGTTCAGGAGGAAACTTCGAACCCTATTGTTATTACTTCCATGCTAATCTATCCAAACGTGAGCGCTTTATCTCTTCCTCTCCTTTCGCTAATGCCTTTAGCACCCCCATTGGCATCGAGTGATCCTTTCACAAGTAGCAAGTAAGACGAAGGTTCGATTTAGCCAAAGAAATTAGCGGATGACTTTAATTCCCCACTTCATACGTTCATATACATCTGGCCATATGTTATATTAAATATCATCCAGACGGTATGGAACAGTTTAGCATATCTTACGAAAATACTGTGATTTTGCTTTGCCGAATTCTTTGCAATTAAAATGTACATTATCCAACCCTGGTGGTTTCGATTAAACGTGTTATTATGACGATTTATGTACATTAATTAACGTCTGTCGTTTCTCTAAATTTTATTAAGCCACGAGTCGTTCACAAGTTTCAGTGGCGAGCAATGATAACACATCGATTATAATAAGCTCTTCCTTGATACCCAGCGACTCCTTTACAGGATTCTTCGGATAAGTGTTGATGGTCTTCATCAAACGACATCAAACTGTTTACACCGTCACCTTGCTCCAGGAAAACCGCCGAATGATTGCCCCAGGAAGTCAGAACGTAACATCCCTCGACGTCATCTGAAGTAAATCCCAGGACCTTGTCCACGTACATTACGCACTTCGCCTTAGTCTCTCTTCGTGCCTGCACTTGGTTTCGAACTCCTTGTCTTTACCTCCGCATATAAGAAATCTTGGAGGGTTAATTTTTCTATTTCCCTCTCGCTTACCGATGCCTCACGTCGACCATCCATGTCACTTCACATCGGGCATATCTCCCCCAGAATTGCGGGGCAGAAATTCCCACAATAGTGCATGAAATAAAAAGATTACTCCAGTCTGCAAGAGCCCACTTGCCAGAGGTGATACCACAGACAGCTGAACCAGGTGATACGGTCCATCGTGTGAACAGCAACGTGGGATAAAAACCGCACAATTTATAAATATTAACGCTCTTCCTCTTTAGAAAACAATCCCCTGCTCCACTTTACCGGTAGCTTTCATCGAGGACACCTGTTTGCCCCGTCATGCGTCACTGGTGTCATACTCCGAGAGGAGGTCCACGTCACGTCGTGCACACCACTGTCAATACACAAATGATCTACGGTTACGTAATTAAATAATTGATTATGAAAATTCTCTCCGACTTGGGGTCTTAATCGAGCCGAACGATTGGGCGATTTTGTTGCGTTAGGGGTGCCGCTGGGATGAGGAACGCCGAGGGTGGAAAAGAGACCGCCGAGAGAAACGGACGGTTCTGCGTCTCTTGACCGAACGATCGCTTACTTCACTCTACTGACTGACTGCCTTCAGCACTGGGAACACCCGCGCTCACTGGCACGAATCACGGTGGCGCGTGCAGGAGCTTACGCACACGGGTGCACGCGTGCACTCCCTTTCGATCTCCGCCCACGCACTTCTCGCCGCAACGGCACGCATACCAAAAACCGAGGAGCTAATGCCACTAACGATCCTCAGGCTGAGAGCCAAGGAAGGGCGGCACGTGCTGAGGAGCGATACGCCGAGGTATGAAACCAGACCGAAATCGCCGATTTTTCATGTCGCCTTTCGGGATTTTCTTCTCTCTGAAAGACACCAAAGACCTTGTATTAAGGTGAAGTGAAACACCCTTCAAATCAGTCGATTCGAATACAACACTTTTTTTTAAGGGTATTAGACCAAACTGTCCGAAACTTTGACACATCACTTCTGATCATCTACGAATTGTCCTGACACATTCAAAATTTGGATTTTTCAAAAAATTTTTTTAACTCAGTCCAGACCAGAACCAAAATGGCGTCGAGCTCTCATATTTCGATCAATATACAATTATCGAAGGCTCTGATATGAGAATCGAAAGGGTCAAGACAATTTTACGACAATTTAGCACACTCTGGTAATCGATAAACTCGCATTTGAACGGGATAAGGGCAAAAAAAGTGTTGTATGCGCTTCTATGCTAAAACGATGGGAATACGGGGTCTCGGAGTGAAAATTTAATTGACCTGGAAATCACAGATAGCGCTGGAGGTCCCGCTGCAGTCAATTAGGGCCCCAGAAAGCTTGAATCCAGAGGATTTCTGGAGTTTTACTTCGATTTCTTGATATTTATCATACGAAAACGATAGGTGTAGTATGCCATTTAGTACAATATTCAATGTAATTCGACACAGCATACAATATAAAAACGAACGTCGGCAACGTAGGCATTTAGAAAAATCTTCTTTATCGACGTCGATCAAGTTCTTCGACGTGTTTCACTTCACCTTAACCCTTTGACTACGAAAGGCGTATATATACGCCCTCACAAATCCGTCGATGTATACGAAAGACGTATATATACGCCCTCACAAGTCCATCAATATATACGAAAGGCGTATATACCCACACCACCGGTATACACCGGTAGTAAACAACACTTGATGTGTACAGAGGGGGTTACTCTTGTGAGGATACCTACAGTCTTATTATATAATTCTCTTAAGGACAGGAATATACATATTGGGGGTGGCTGAGAAGTCTTGCGGTATTAGCAACAAAAATGTTTAATTAATTTTGATCTATTGAATTACAACCTGGATTGATGATTCCCGTAACTATTTGTCACCTGTGCATGTCTATCGGACTCTCTGTTACCTTTCGGCAAATTTTCGAAATGTAAACGTAAGGGGTCGCAGAACTTTTTGGCCAATTCAACTTAATTAGGACAACATTACGCGTGAGTGATTGACTTTTTACGGATAGGAATAAGATATTTTGTCATTATTTTTCTTTCGAATTGTTGGTCTTTTGGGGGTTTGCCGAGGATTGTAGCTACAAGAATATGACATTAGAGGCTGCATGATTTCTTGCATGATAGTGAGGATGATGACCTTGAATCTGAAAAATTCAATTGCATCTTTGGAAAACGATGGCGTTATAATCTGTCGAGATGAACTTTTTAATATGAAAATATTTTTATTAGAAATGGTACGTTTCATTGAAAGAGAAGTAGTACAAGAATTCAAAAAATAGCTGGGGGGACTATAAGGAAATATATTATAGAAATAATGAAGAAACATAATTGAACGCTTTTCGAGATATGCAAATAGTTGAGAAAAGGGCGAATAAAGTTTTAAGACTCGAGGGCGGAATGGAGAGCTTCCTCGAAGACGCATGTTGAATTCGACAAGGATATTGATTATAAAGGACGAGATAACGAATTGTCGACGGTATTGTTCGGGAGAAAAAAAGACGACTTATAAAAGGAGACTTTCCAGCCATTGGTTACGTCCACGTTCGAAAGCATGTCCTTGGTCTCGTTGTCACGAAAAAGCGATGATACTCTCTCCGGAGAGCGAAGAATAAAAATTATGAAGTGTTCAAACTGACACAAGACTAAGTTTGTGTTTAATCATAATTAAATGATACACCTCAAGAAGAGTATTTTCTCTTTATAACTCCTGCGCATTTTAACGGCGTTTATTTCCTTCTCAATCGCAGCCAGCCAAAAAATGAATGTTAAAGATGAATTTTTTTTTTTTCATTTTAGCCTTCGATGGCAGTTAACTCCGCTCGCTAATCAGTCTGCTCTGAACAGATCGATTCAACTTTCGAGATATAGAAACAATAAAAGTAATGAAAGATTGCAGGCAGGCGAATAAAGAAATAAAAGTGACCTGCCGAGATCTTGAATAAGTGCTCTCTTTATGGCTTAGGCTCTGCCTTAGCTCCTAATTAAGCGACCTCCGTGATTGCCAAGTTAAATGAATCTATAGATAAGACATTATGTTTTTGCACCGTAAATAATCTCTGTCTCTTCTTTAACTTCGGATACATACCGCAACACCTTGTTTCACAATTTTAAGGAAAACGAGTCGGTTGAATAAATTGACGATTACTGATACCTACATATGCATTACAGATATTTCGATAAGAAGTAAAATTTCTCATATCAAATCATGATTATTATCATCTATCGTTAGCATTAGTGCATTATTTCTATTTCATTTTCAGCGTCCATATTTCATATCTTTAATTTTATTTCATTTTAAGCGTTAATTATTAACGTTTAATTTTTCAGCAATTTTCGGGCTCTATTTTTCACAGTCCAATTCCAGTGATTGTTTTTTTTTCCCTTCTTTAAATAATGTAAGTGAATATTTAAGAAGAGAAATTCTGACTCTGACATCAGCATAGCACTATCTTTCCGATGGATTCGTTGAAGTTAACTCTAACGCGTCACGTCATGGGGACTTTGCACTATTCGCGATAGCACAATAGTAAAGCTCCTCGGAACGCCTTCTCTTGTGAAAATTCTCGAAATGGTCGAGTTCTTGTAAACAGGGGCTGGCGCTTGTCAAGGAAATTGGCAAACAAGCCTGCCTCGGAGTTTACATAGGAAACAATGTAGATCAATCTAATTACGATCGGCGTCAAGAAAACGGAGGATCCTAACGAGGGGCGGCGGAAATCCCTATGGAGCTCGAGATTCCCGGATCCGCCTCCGCTTCGATTTCAAAAATACCAGTGACGTAATCGCGAACGAAAGTGCCAAAATCGTGGACTCTCACAAATTATACATCGTAATCGCAGATAACGAGCTGTGACCTTTTAAACCTGGGCAGCCTCTGTTAAACCTGATAACCCCGGCGTAGGAAATGTTAAAGCTCTGGCCATTTCCCGATTGCTTAGTTCCAAATATCGAAGGCAAATGGATCTCATAAAGATAAAGGATAAAATCTTGAAAAGGGTCTCGAGTATTTCAAGATTACGGCTTCAAAATCTTAAACTCGCCCTTTAGTCGTAATAATTTTAACCCTTTGGCTCCTAAGAGCGCCTAAAGGCGCCCGACGTTTGGTCCAATATTGCCTGCCCGGTCAGACGAATTTCGCCCATATGTCGAAATGGCTCCGTGTTGAAAGGGTTGAGCCTGGAATTTGTTTCGGTGTATTTATTCACTTGAAATTAATATCTCAACGGTAGATCGATACTTGTTCCCTTTTTACGGGAATGATGAATTATTCTAGATAAAGTTATGGGACACAATGAAATCTGAAATATAGGCAAGCTTTATTATGGAATTTCGTTGCCTTCTAGTTGATTTTTTAAATTACGCGGCATCAATGAAATTTCGTTAACCTTATCAATGGATTATGGTAACGATCCTGGGAGGTCTTAAATATCTACGAGGCTTGGATTCGAGCTGTTGAGGAGAGATCGTACCAAAAGTGAGACAATTGATTTTTTTAATTAGGCGGTATCAATGATATTTCGTCAACCTTATCAATGGATTATGGTAACGATCCTGGGAGGTCTTAAATATCCACAAGTTTTGGATTCGAGCTGTTAAGGAGAGATCGTACCAAAAGGGAGACAATATATAATAGTAGGTCCCCAACTATATCCGACTAGACATGTTTAGCCAAGCTCTATTATTGTAGAGGGTGCGAAGGAGATGGAATAGAGAGCTGCTGCGAGGGCTGCGATGGAAAAGAGGGGAAGAGATGTTAAGAGAGGCTGCGTCGGTACGGCAAAATGTTATGTTTACGTTGTGCTACAGCTTCGCACCTGGACACAAGAATAGCATCGAATTCCACGAGGAGAGCTCTCCTTGCCTTTGAATCGAACTCGATCGACGAGGCGAGACGAAACTCGTAACTACGAATGTGAGAAATCCTAAAAATATCGCTCTCGTCAAAACGATTCTTTGCCGCTCATCGTCTCGATTGTTCCAAGCTTTTCGCTCTTGGGCGGTCGGAACTTGAAAATAAAGGTCTTTTGACCAGGCCGCGACCACCCGTGCACTGCGGACTTCCGCAGCCAGGATAAACATCAATTTCGTCACAGAATTTACCCACTAATCGATATCGGTTTAGGCATACCGAAATGTTATCCCGGAAGCAACGAGATCGAATAAGATTATTGTATCGGAAAACGGTCGGTAAAGTATAAGGGAAAGGCAAAGGCTCGGGTTCTTAAAATTCCCTGTACCGCTACATGTACTAATCGTCGTTCGTCTCCAGAAATGTATAAAATTCAGATCTGTAAATCTTGAAAGGAATATTACTGCATTTCTGATGGGAAAACAAATTTTTTAAATGCAGTTTCGCTCGATAACTTAAGCACTAGATTTTCCGGCATTTCTTTAACACGTCTCAAGCCTTGCTGTTACGATCGAATGCTTTAGCATAATGCAATTTATGAACTATCCAACGACCTCGTGTGGAGTACCCTTAGACCTCGTAACGCTACGTAGCTGGCACGCATAATAAATCATAGCTATCGTTACGCCAGCAAAACAAATGTTATTCGCACTCTCGTAATCTTAAGGCGTAATCGTAATATAGCCAATAAGGTACGCGTTTTGCCCTGACAGGGTTGTATCGAAGCGATGATTCGCGCATTAGAAAGCCGGTGAAAAGAGCCGATCGCAACGACTACACTTAGCAGTTTGCACCACCATAGAAACCATATGGGAAACTCGCGGCCACACTTCCGAGGGGTATAAAGCCCAAATGACGTAGGCATGGTTGCAGATGGTGGTCGTAAGGGGTAGTCTAAAATAATAAAGCGGCAGGCGCACACAAATGAAATGTTTGTATTTCTAGATACGGCGAGAATACCCGATCTCTTAATGACGAGTTACAACTGGACCCACTCATTTGGCTCGTCGAAATCCGACAGTGATTGACAGCACTTTAGGAAGATATTTTTCAAATGATTCATTTTTTTTCATTTAATACAGAAACCTAATTAATTAGATTGTACCTATAATACATATTTTGTCTCTCATATCGTATTAACTTCATTAGCTAAAATAAACATAACTTTTCATATTAGTATCGTTAACATAACACAAGAAGAGTTATACGTTCAAGAAGTAGTTTGCTTTGTTTAAAGAAAATATTTATTACTTACATTACATAATACAAAATGGTTTGAATACAATTGAATTCTTATGTGGTTTTGAAGTGATCATCTGTACTGGTAGTATAGATATGGCCTTCGGTTGCTAATTGATCGATTAAATCATCGACGCGTGGTTTAAGGCGAGCCTCTACCTGGCGTTTAATATCATCCCTTTCTATTCCACAATCTGTATCACATTTAGACTTGATAAGCTTGTATATTATTATTTCATCGGGTGTCATGGTAGAAGTATCATCGTCAACATTTGAGGAAGACTTAGTTGCAGTTGATACTTTATTTTCAGGTGCATTTTCTGTTCCAGTGAGTTCCTCCAATTTTAGCATAGCATACGTAACCTCTAAAAGATGACCCGTCAGTTCTGCAAATTCTTTTATTGGCGCTATACGAAGTATAAGGACGCATGTCTTTCCTTCTTGTTCTCGTAAAAACCCATAAACTTTAACGTACGTGTTAGTTTCAATATTTGGCTCTTTAATGTTGGATTTTTCCTTTTCTAACCAACTAAATGCTGTAATACAATCTAAATAATCAAAAGTAAAGTATTACACCACATGATAATTACTGTAAAAAAAATTCCCAATTTTTTACTTTCCTTTTGCATACCTGTTTGATCTTCTATTTCGTATGAAATTCTTGTTGTGACTTGTTCGATACTACGTACTATACCCACAAATGTCACAATGCGCACCGTATTACCCCAAACATTCAAATCACCGTTACATTGCGTTATGTAAGCTATCATTACAGGCACAATATTTTGGCCTCTTGTAGATGATTCTTTTCCTTCTTCAGTAGATGCTGTACGAGACTCATCAAAATATCCTCCTTCACTTTGCATCGTTGAATCATTAGCCCACATTTTGATTTCAATGTGACTCCACGTGAAAACTAAAAAGGAAACAGTATTTAATTTCTTATACTAGCTGATATATTATTGTGCACATTAAACTGAATAAAAATGATTTTAATACCAGATAACACTTGGCTTTCGTATCCGAATATAGCAATAGAACTTGGCGGGAAATAATTTTGATCAACTTCGACGCAATCACGATGTGGGTACCGGCTAAAACGTCACGTGACAGTCAGCAACCATGAAATATAGGTTAATAAGATAGCAAAGCGCTAACGAATCTAGGATACGAGTAACCTAAAATCGGAGTTCTACTTTCATAGAAACTCAAATGACAACCGATACTATTAAACCAGTTTAAAATTTATGTATCTACATACACAGAATAATGTTGCATAAAATGGTTTATTCGAAGATAATCATTTTAAATCGTTGTTATTTTCAATTATTTCCAAAATAAATCCGCTGTCCATGTCTCTTCGTCTCCATTTCGTTCGGGGTTTAAAGGTGCTTTGGTCGTGTTCTCTTTCTAGCTGTTGCATGGCATTCGTCGATTCCCTATTTGAAATTACCGCCACTTGGTAGCATGTCATAGTTCCTTTCTCGGTCGCCAGATGGTTATACCTCCTGGAGGTCATTCACAGAGGAATTGGCGGCTCTTTAAATTCCAGAAGCTTCCAATTGTTCTAATAAACCTTGTTTCCTTCTATTCACGCATAAATCATATTTTCTCGTAATATTCTCAAATAGTTGTATGTGAGAATATCAGTCAGGATGTAATATGATATGCGAGGGAAGTCGATAGAACAGAAATGCAAAAAAGGTCTATAAAACTGAAAGCAGTAGTATATTTTTCATTTCTTTATTAAAAATTTTAAATTACACCAGGATCGCCTGTAAGTGATCAGGAATCTGATATATTTCCGCATTCGGCCGACATTTTCATTCTTACGCCTCCGAGAGTCAATTGTTTAAAACAACGCGTCTAGGCATTTCAGAAGTTTCTTCCGTCATCATCCTAGTTAGACATTACTATTCTCTATGTGTAGCGATTACGTGCTTTTGTCAATGAGGTTTCCTCAAAAATTATGGAAAATTATTAACGACTGCAAAAGTGGTGCCATTCGCTGGAGCAAGGGCGGTAACAGTATACTCCTAGATTATAAAATGTTTCAAGACGAATATCTCGGCTCGACGAATCCTGTATTTAAGACAAGCAATATTACGAGTTTCATCAGGCAATTGAATCTGTATGGATTTCGAAAAGTTACATCCCACAGTCGTGATCCTGTATGCAATTCCCACAATCCTAACGTCCATGAATTCCTTCACGACAACTTCCGCGTCGGCCGTGTAGACTTGCTGACTAGAGTATGTCGGAAAACCGGAAGGAAAATGAAACGATCGAATGCCATTGTACAAAAAAGCGAATTAACGCCGGAAAAGGAAAGGCCTCGAATGACGCGTTTGCAGATTTGTCAAGTAAGAGCAGTATTCCTGTTCCAAAGTAGTAATATAATAATTTTTCTATATCATTTGTATATTTCCATCCGATGGACATCCGTGAAATCGATCTTTCGCGATTAATTGTTTTCAGTTATCATTGCTAATGAAGTTTTTACGATTTATGATTTTTTCTACATTAGGCCGTCTGTTTCTAAAATCTGGTATAAAGAATGCCTTGAAATAAATTACATATTATTAACCACAATTAATCCTTCTTTTGCAGAGATAAAAAGAATTATCGATTTTGTCAATATTTTCAAAACGTAATGCTTATCAGTTGTACATCCTTCTATTTAATTCATTGAAATTTTAGCAAATTATTCAATGCCTCTGGCATTTTTGTTTCAATTTTATATATTTACTTTTTGTTAGAAACTTGTTAAAAACATTATTTTGAGTTGCAAAATGAGTAACGATCGTTGATTCAACGTCGCCGAATTGAGTAATTTTTTTAAACAGTATCCAAACATTTTCAGTTAATTCCGTTGAGTTAACTACAATAGACATTCGCAACTTGAATTTTTTAATTTCTATGAAAGTTTATATTCCAACGCAATGTTGTTTAGATTGCCCTGACTAAAGCACTGGAACAAGCTGCAAAGAAATACCGTCAAAATAAATGTGGAGAATCATCAGGCGGTAGTTCGATGGAAAATATAAAAAGATATAACGATTCAGGTAATATACAATGAACTTGAAGAAAATGCATAATTAATAAAACAATTTAACATTTCTAGATTTATATGTATCTAATCAGTACGGAATGTCGAATTCCAAAGAGATGATGGATTGGCCAGAAAGTCCTTCCTTCATTGTATCAGCCAACAATGAAAATATTAACGGACATTGCCCCCTAACATCTGTGCCAGTAGATTATTTCGTAATGTATCCAGTACATACATCTTGTTAATATACTATTTTTAACATAAGTTGCCATAGTTAAATGTTAAAGACAACACACAATACGTAAGCAATTAAGCATTCGGTGCAAGGCGGTAAAAGAATGATAAACCCGGATAATAAAATATTTCGATGGAAATGATGTCTTGCCCATAATATAAATATTACGTCCACATGCGCTGTAAATCTAGATAGTATCAACAGTAACAGTAGAAATTATTGAACAATGTTTCAACAACGATGAATACGTTATACCCAATAAATCAGATTCAGTTTCATGTTTGTAGTTTGCATGTTTTATGAAATACTTAGGGGAATATTGATTTCCTTCATAGATTGGAATGATAAGTCACGCAAACCGGGGTGGTTATAAAGCGATGGGATTAAAGTGAAGACATATTCGAGAATTTATACTTTAATAGAGTAATCCGAAGGTTGAACGAGTCAATAATGATATGCCCACCGGAGTATAAGCCTTCGATATCGCGTTTACGTCAAAGTTTACGATTAAGATGTAAAGAGTATTTTCGCGAGAACAGTCTTCATGGAGTACCTTATTTCGTCGATCCGACACGTCCAATAATCGAAAGGTACTATAATAAATTTATCACGCTACTGAAAACCAGATTTTTTCCCCTTTCTCTATTATTTACAAGTAACATTAACACATTCGCGAGCGCTTACGTGAATTTACGTCTTTTCAAGTTCTATTCCAGGTTGCCGCAGACGTGAATTCACGTCATTTTAAATTCTATTCCAGGTTGCCGCAGACGTGAATTCACGTCCATGACGATGTACGATACAAGTTTGCGGCAACCAGTTTCAGAATTTCATTATTTTCGCCGGTATTCAGTATTTGAAACGGAAAAAATTTGCCAGTCGCGAATGTGTTAACTGACGAAATTTAAGTTACCATTACATAAGGCCTTATCCCAAATACTGTATACCGATAATTTCATACTTTCCTAACAAAAATTCTTTTTTATCATCCGACGAAAATTGTTGCAGAGTAATATGGTTTATCTTCACAATTGCTTCAATAATCACAGCTTTTGGAGTAATTGCAATAGTTTGGAATAAGTTCCAAACCGAGCCGATGCTTACCGGGTTGGATACGCAATCAGACCACATGGATGTTTATTTTCCTAATGTGTATCTCTGTCTAAATTGGAATGGTTTAGATGCATCACGTTTAAGCCAGGTATTACAAATGATATTATTATCTGAACTAATGTTCAGAGGGCGTTTTATCGTACAAAAATTTATTTCGTTAGCACAGTCGTTTTATTTGACGAAGAAAATTACGCGAAATCCTTCCCGAGGACGTATCTCGATTTCAGCTACCGAATTTCTCCGCAACTGACAAATGACTTACATTAGAAGGAAAAAGAACATTACAAGGCGATTTACGAGTGGAATTGGAAACCCTTGAATGTTTCCCTTAATTACGATGCACCCCAAGGTGGCTATAGAAAGCTATTTTATCGGCTTGGCCCGACTTGCAGTACCATTTACTCCAACTGCACATTTGGGTAACGTCCAATAGTTTCTTTATAGGGCAACGACGTTAAAACATGTTGCCAAATGTTACCGTAGTTGTCGTCAAAACGTATTATCACGCCGGGGACATTATTTTTGGTAACTTATGAATTTCTTTAGAGGGAGCGACGCGAAATGCGAAGATCTCTTCAAAAAGGTGCTTACGGCTGCTGGAGTCTGCTGTCATTTTTCCGCCAAATTACTCCAAAAGGTTTACTCATCTTGGAGCTTAACATTCGAAACCGGCTACTACCCTGTAAGGTAAATTTCTAACATCATAATAAAGGTAAGAAAATGGCCCCGAAGTTTCCGTTTTTAACCATCGTTCCCAGACAGCATAAAATATTCATAGAATATAGAAAAAAAGTTGGCAAAATATTCCTCATGTATATTCGACTTTGGAATGATATTTTAAGTACACTATTAGATTATATACATATCACAATGTTTCCCAGATGTAGTCTAAATATTTAATGTTATATATATATATAATATTAGCAATGGCACTTGAAATATGGAATACTATTCTATAAATACTACAAGTGGTAGAAAAGGTTTATAATATAACATTGAAGTACTAAAGTTAACAATTATTTTATCTCACGCTCATGTTCAAAAAATGTATATAGCACATAAATCCATATCCTATTAATATTGAAATATTTTCAAAGAACCTCTGTGCTATGTATTTGTGCTGTCTGGGTTACGTGCCATCCACTATTTGTCGTTTAATATTGGTATACATTAACGGTGAATTTGGGTAACATTTGGCGTTTCCGTTTTCTCTTGGTTTTAGAGTATACATTGCTGAAACATCCATCGGGCCTCCTGTTCGTGAAGATGAGCCTACATATGTATTTACAAACCCAGCTGAGATGCATCTTACCTTGCGGACTACTCAAACGACGACGATGGCTCGTTTTTTAACTCATTCGCAGCGAAAATGTATCTTCGATGACGAGGGCCCGACATTCAACGAATGTCAGTTAGAATGTTCAGTGCGGAAAATTGATGCCAAGTGTCAATGTCTACCTTGGTTCCTAACTTCGGAACCTGAGAAAGAATGTCCATTCAAGAAGTACTCTTGTTTGTCATATGATAAGATGACCTTACGGCGCCCAAAATGCTCCTGCCTCTTGTCGTGCCAGCACACCTCCTACGATTTTTCTAAAGTTAAGGAGAAAAAGGAGTCAGAGTCCTGCGACATCATTATTCCTAATTGGCCTACTGTGCAATATGTGCGACAAGTTCGATTCGGTTGGTTGGATTTGGTGGTGTCATTCGGAGGAGTAGCAGGATTGTTTGTCGGATACTCGTTATTAACGAGTGTTGAGCTGATATATTATTTCACCTTAAGAGCGTACTGCGGAGCTGTACTTGCCGTGCCGAAAGCGAGGGTTAATGTAATTAAGGTAAAGGTTCGTAACCCGAAACCTGATAATAAGAAAAAAACAGAATTTATTCAAAGATATTATGATTATGTCGAATAAAAGAAAATAATCATCTCTGTGTCTAAAATGAGACACTCTTCGTAAAACGTTTATTATGATTTGCATAGCAAAGTGCAGTAAAAGATAAATGGTTACATATAAAGAGTTAATTCTAATTTATTTATTTCTGTTCCGGGTAATTAAATGTATAAGAAAATAGGAAAGTAGATGGTTATCCTTTGAGTAATCGCATGAGAAAAAAATCCCGTATGTCAAGAATATGGTGATCATGTTTGCGAGGATCCTATGATTTGTTATGATATACAACCACCGGTACGTAAATTTGTAATTACTTAGGAATATCTAGGTGTTGTAGAAAGTGGCGCCATTTCATCGGTACTACTTTGAAGGTTTCACTATGTAGTCAAGAGAGGAACTTTAACAGTGCTTGAATTCAATGGTTGAAGAGAGGATGAATAACACAAATTATCAAAACAGGCAATGGAACAATCTGCAAAGTTCTAAACGCAATAGCCAAAAAGTACAACATAGAAATATAATAGCCGGTAAAGGTACTCGCCAACCCAACCACCAAAAGAAACTAGGAATAAACGAACAGGGCTTTTAGCCCCGTAAGGAATTAAGTTGGCATTAATAGAGTCTATGCGGTGAAGACTCTGGAGCCATAAGCAATAACTGGCAATAACCAACCAACCAATGTTCATCCTAACCTCAAAACAGTTTGATTTGCGCAGATATAAATGCGACAAATGTGTGTACGGGTGAATAACTCTACGGAGACGTAATTTTAAATAGTTTGTGTATATTAACGGAGCTAACTACCAGGAGCAGCAAAAATGTGAAAAATATACTCCATTGTTTATTTATACATTATTTTGAAACCCTTTACACGTTGAGCATTTGTATTGCAGTGAAGCTTAGGGAACGTATACGTTTAATAAACGGCCCAGAAATGTCGAAACGCAAGTTCAACGAGATTTCAACAGCAGATTGGCCTGTAGAGCAGAAACCAGCGCTAAAAAATTCCTTGGATTCTGATGAAGACGACGATGAAGTTACCGAAGATACGTACAATGTTATGAACGAGGATGAATTTGAAGGTTTGTTGTTACGTCCCCTTAAATTTATTAAACGAATACAGCCTCTTTAGATGTTATTTTACAAGCTACTTTTCTTTGTCTCTGATGAATAGATTTGTATTGTCGCACTTCTGATAGGATATTAATTTTGATTATGTAATATCTTCGTTCTCTTTAAATGACATGTATTAATTGTTATTGATACTTTTCATAAAATGTTTAATATTTATTATATACCCATTTGATTTAATTTGTTATTTGCTATAGATGTCATTATTAACTGTTGACTATGTTATAACGGTAAACTTGTCTTATATATTAACAAAGAACTTATTTTAATCAGGAGTGGAAGATGGACCCGTAACTCAAGAATCTGAAGTCGGCTTTACCGCGTTTAATATGAAAGAGGAATTGGAAGAAGGTCACTTCGACAAGGATGGCCACTACCTTTGGAATAAAGAAAAAGAGATTAGAGATAATTGGTTGGATAATATTGATTGGGTTCAGGTTAGGTATCTACTAAAAAGCGATCGATATTAAATTATTCATCTTCCTGATTATATATATATATAACGTATGACATGTTAATTTTTCCAGATAAAAGAGCGTAAAAAGACAAAAACAGTTGACGAGTCTAAAGGATTAGCAGATAGTGATAGCGAAGAGGAAGAAAAGGATATAGTTTTTGACCCTACGCCATTATATAAACAAATATTAGAATACCTAAAGCCAGGCGAAACTGTATCCCAGGCTTTGTGTAGACTCGGTAAGTTATCATATTTTAATGCAGATCCACTTTATGAGGTAATTTCCTAATATTTTTATTATTGTATATAATATGATGTAAGATTAAAAATAATATGCGAATACATGCATAAAATAATGTGTAAATACAGGAAAGGGAAAGAAAAAAATGTCAAGTGCTGACAGGTGGAAAAAGAAGAAAGAAGTAGTGACTTCTGCAGAAGAAGATGAAAAATCTGCTCAAATAATAAAATTGACAGAACTTGCAAATGAATTATTGACACGAACAGGAAACATGGATATTTACCAAGAGAATTTTGAATTGATTAAGAAAAAGGTATGTAAACTTAAAAAAATAAAAGCATAACTGGAGGACGATTGTACGAAACACCACAAAGTGATTTAATATCACATTCGGATAATTTTTGTATTGCATTTTAGATCCAGCAAAGTGAAAAACAATCTCACCCTTCAAAACAGGAGGCAGAATTAGACATGTATGCTGATGATTTTGATGTAAAAGAAAAAGCCAAGTTGGGCGAAACTGACAATAGTAGCAGTAAGTTTTAATCATTTCTTAATAAAATGGTTTCTTAGGTTTTATTCAATAAATTTTTATAACTTGAAATTTTTTTGATACCTTCAGAAACAACCGAGACAGAGGAGATGAACACAGAAAAGACTGGGGATGTTGACAGTGAAGTAACATGGCAATTAAAATGGTCTCAACAGGAAGAGGCTGAAGTCCTTGGACCATATTCAAGTAAACAAATGCAGCTTTGGGCTAAAAAGGGCTACTTTAAAACTGGAGCGTGGGTACGGCGAACAGGACAAGAAGGCCAATTTTACAGTGCAGGACGAGTTGACTTCGATCTTTACCTGTAATTTGCATTCCAGTTTTGCACGCTGTATATGTATCGTTTGCTGTTTTAATAATCATTATGATATATATGAGATAATTGTATAATATAGCGAAATCGAATTAAGTACTGCCGGAGAACTTTTTTTATTGGTAGAGTAGAATTGATTCTTCACCCTTGCACGCACCAACAATTCCTGTATAAATAAAAGAGCAGAGACACCAACAAGTGTGTTCCGTTTATCTTCCATTCTGCTGTATAACTTGCAAAGTAGAAGTTGTCAAGGGCAAATACATCTACATTTTTATAAGTTAGCATGTAATGTTAAATACTAACGAGACTATAAATTACAATTTCGTTAACTGTATGGACGTATTTTTGCAAAATGTCAAAATAAGAGAACGATGAGAATTATAGCATGCTTATAACAAAATAAAAAAAATCCATGTATCTTATTTTTAACTTCATACCTTCTTAGCGTGAGGAATACATTTTCATAATGTATTACGCCAATGAAGAAAGTACGGCTTAATATATAACAAAATCAGGTAGCGAAATGAATAGGGATTCTACACCAATGACAAAAAAAATGTTATTAGCTCAGCGTGTTACTCAATGTACAATATAATTTTATTACATGTTATAAACATTTTTATATGCAATGTAAGAAATTTTTATATACTTCCTTAAAATATTTCAAGTAAATATATTCGCATATCGATGCAATTACATTTGGCTACGGGTATTCTTATCATGGTGTCCTGACGTATAAGAATTTTATACTAACCAATAACGCTCAATATCTCTGCATTTTTGTACCGTTGAGAAATGAAGAAACTAACACTGACACCGATGTTTCACTGCGATTCAATATCTACGTAAATGTTATCGTTCGGTTAAATCAATGTACTAAGGTACAGACGTCATTAATCGAGGAATGAAACATTGTAAATAAATGAATGGGGCCAAACGAACCCAAATTAATTGTTACTATATTATTAGAAAAAGGTTGGGAGGACGAATTTTGTGAAATTCCTCAGGCGCCACGTTAAGAATATTTGCTTTACGTAGCACATGCACATTTGCACGAATCGCTGGAAAGTTGGTCGTCGGAACTCGGTGGCGTTACCAAACTATCCTCTCTACCTTTTCAAACTTACGAGCCGAAAAATTCGGCACGAACAGCACAAACGCGTGCGAGAATTGCATAAATATATAAGGTCGCGACCCTCCCTCGGGACTCGATATTTTCCGTCGGAGGATCCGAAGTACGCTAGAAACGGTTTATTGCGCTTTCTCATAACCTATAGTTTCTAATAAACGATCTACGAGTCGTTTTCACAAGAAGTTACCTTTTTCGAGTAGAGAATGTCTAGACGTGGACTAGAATGGGGAATCCTTACAAATTCCTATTACGTCGGATTTCCAGTTACCATCCAGACAGCATTTTGCAATCGTAACTTATTATAATATCTTCATAAGACGCGATAAGAGACTCAAACCTGTATATAAGTTCAGCGTATATGTATATATAATGAGCTCATGCAGGTTCTGCCCCATAATGATAAGAATACACCTAAATACTGAAAAGGAGCACAAGACCTTTTTGTGGGTACTTGTTCAAGTATAAAAGCGTAAATTCACGGTATATTATTACAGGCCGCAAACAATTTGATCAGTTACTGCATTTCCACGTGCGATTAATATTCATTTCAACATTAAACTCTTTATAAATACATTTCTGAAAATAAAATGACATTCCAAACACCAACTCAGTGGCTGATTTTCAGGTTATGAACTCATCTAGTAACATGTCTTCCACAATTTCATTATATTTTACGCGAAGCATAACTTTGCGCGTCCACAAAAGTGCGCCATGCCGTTTAATCGTTCCCCGAGACAAAAGTCACCGTTTAATATTTAGCGCAAAACATTACGACTGCGTATGGTTTACTGTTCAGGTGATAACCGTGTTCCGACGCAAGTGAAATTATGCTCTCGGGCCAGGGTAAGAATGTAAATAAAAGCTAACGCGGAGAGATGAAAGGACGGAAATAGGATAATCACTGCAAATGTTATCTTTACACGAGGGGGACACGCGACAAAAATAAGACGCCAGCATCCGACGAATGCTCCGTTCGTTGAAATGCCTGCCCGAGCGTACGTTCCTCGGACACGTGAAGAACTCGCATTTATATATGTATATATATACAAGAATAGTCGACGAGGTGGCACGCCTTTAACGCATCACAATTCGAAGTGGGCTCCGTGAGAGGTGCTTTTCCAAGGCGGGAAAATAGAAGAACACTGACGGGGCGCGTTCGTCTTCCACCTTCCTGGACCCCCAAGCATGCACCTTAACACGGCTAACTGCCGTGACTAACAAGAAGACCGAAAATCCCGCCGAAGAGTGCCACTGGATGTCGGGGAATCACCGGGGGACTACGGAGTTGATATCCAGCCCCGAGGACTTGAAATCACCCCTTTTGTGGCACGGCTGATTGATTTATATACCTCATCGCGCCACTTTCCGGCCCACAATAGTCCCTCCGTTACCTAAGTTTAATATAGCCATGCGGTTCGACGCGGTGGTCAAGGGTCGTTGACTAGAAAGCAATGCCAATTTACGCGGAGAGAAATATTTAGGGCTTCTATTTGACCGCCGCAATTTTCTACATCCTAACTCGATTACCGATAACGGGCGACGTGGCATTTCCGTTGTGCGTTTTGCCCTGACGTTTAAGGTGAAGTGAAACATTTCGAGGAACTTGATCGACGTCGATAAAGAATATTTTTCTAAATGCCTACGTTGCCGACGTTCGTTTTTATATTGACAGCTGTGTCGAATTACATTGAATATTGTACTAAATGGCATACTACACCTATCGTTTTCGTATAATAAATATCAAGAAATCGAAGTAAAACTCCAGAAATCCTCTGGATTCGTGCTTTCTGGGGCCCTAATTGACCTGCAGAGGGACCCCCTGCGCCATCTGTGATTGCCAGGTCAATTAAATTTTCACTCCGAAACCTCGTATTCCCATCGTTTTAGCATAGAAGCGCATACAACACTTTTTTTCCCTTTATCCCGTTGAAATGCGAGTTTATCGATTACCAGAGTGTTCTAAATTGTCGTAACATTGTCCTGACCCTTTAGTTTCTCATATTAGAGCCTTCGATAATTGTATATTGATCGAACTATGAGAGCTCGACGCCATTTTGGTTCTTGTCTGGGCTGAGTGAAAAAATTTTGTTGAAAAATCCAAATTTTCAATGCGTCAGGACAATTCTTAGATGATCAGGAGTGATGTGTCAAAGTTTCGGCCAGTTTGGTCTTTTACCCTTAAAAAAAAGTGTTGTATTCGAATCGACTGATTTGAAGGGGGTTTCACTTCACCTTAAGGTGAAGTGAAACATTTCGAGGAATTTGATCGACGTCGGTGAAGATTTTTCTAAGTACCTACGTTGTCGTCGTTCGGTTTTACGGTGACAGCTGTGTCGAATTGGATATTATTCTAAAGGGCATACTCGACCTGTCGTTTTCGTACCGTGATTATTAAGAAATCGAAGTAAAACTCCAGAAATCCCCTGGATTTATGGTTTCCGCGGCCCTAATTGACTGCAGAGGGACCCCCTGCGCCATCTGTGATTTCTATGTCAACTAAACTTTTATTTCTAGACCTCGTTTTACCATCGTTTTAGCGTAGAAGCGCATAAGACACTTTTTTTGCTTTTATTCCGTTCAAATGCGAGTTTACCGGTTACCAGAGTGTTTTGAATGATCGTATATTTGTCCTGATACTTTCGTTTCTCATATTAGAGCTTTCAATAATTGAATATCGATTGAAATTCTGGTCTGGGCTAAGTTAAAAAATCTCTTTAAAAAAATCGAAATTTGGAATGTGTCAGGATAATTCCTAGGTGTTCACGAGACATTTGTCAAAGTTTCGGACAGTTCTGTTCAATACCCTTAAAAAAAGTATCTTACTTGAATCGACTGATTTGGGGGTGGTTTCACTTCACCTTAAAGTACTCAAAAGCGGTACAATGGACGCGAATGGACATTGCTCGATCGGACAAGACTTGACATTTTTCTACGTGTATGTACGCTTGGTTATTCAACTTCTATGTTAGTAAACAACGAATTACACGATCATTTTGATACATCGCTGGGTTCGATCAATTTTTCTCGACCTTCTTCTGTTATAAATAGGGAGTTTTTTATACACGTGACGTTTACTTGTTATGTCGGGGTGATGTGGAGAATATGGAAATAGAATGCTCTTATTATATGAAAGTCGTTAACCTTTTTGATAATTGCGAATTTTATCCGACAAATGTGTCCGGATACGTCATAATGCGTCTGAATGTGTTATAATATGAAGCATAATTCTAGATCGCACTTGTCGCATTTTTTAATATTATTCCGAACTAGATATTCGTCCCTGTATAGTCATAAGGAAACGGATAATTTCGTGCGGTTTTTTGCAAGATTACTTATTGACGAATCAAACCACTTTATCATTAAGTTAACGAGTTACGGTCCTAATTTGTTCCAATGCGACATCAGTAGAAGTACTGATAACGAATCGAATAAACCTTGCAATTACCATGAAAGGTAGCTCCGTAGAAATGTCCTAAAGTTTCGAAATAGCGTCTATTAGACACATTTATAAACGTAAATCCGATATATGGACAAACAAGACTTCGGTTACCCGTTTCCCGCAACGAGGAGATCCTAAACCTCCTATCCGTATCTACACATCACTGCTAATCAGAGAATATTGCTTCGTTGAGGCGGCCATTTTGTTTTTCTTTCCCAACCATATCGATCATTTAACAAAGGCTCGTCATCGTTGTCACCCTTATTATCGCAGCCAATTTCATCAGAGTCACAAAAATATATATACATCTCCAAAATATACGTATTCCTTGCTATCTCTTTCGCCTAAATCATTAACATTTGCCTACTTATATTGCTATTTCTTACAGACTCATCGGAAGAAAGGAAGTATCCCAAACGGAACGAACGAAATCAAAGATGGCGGGGCAGGTAGTACTTGAAGGACCAGAATTGCATCGCCATCGGACCCTAACTATTTCTCTTCCCGTAACGAGGGCCAAAAATCGTTGTGTACGAATCCGAGACGATAACGAGCTCGGTAAACGGCGCCAACGAAAGAAATTTCTGCACCCGAGGCGTATCTTAATGGCGGATTCTTGATCGCACCGAGAGCCCATCTTCCATTGGCCACGCACATTCCGTGGGGCGATTGTACGCCTAATATACGCCTTTACGGCGAGCGTACCTACCGTAATAAAATCTTATTCGTTATTGCTTCAATTTACATGCCTCGAAGGGCCAAGAAACTCGTGTGTACGCGTGGTCGATTGCGCTTCTTCTCCACCGTGAATTCCTCCCCTCGCCATGGCGTCCCTTCCGGGAGCGATTTTCTTTTTTTCACCGCTTCATCAGCTATCCCTAATCGAGCGGCGAGCTCGTACTTTAGAAAAAATTGATCCTCAATGCGAGCACTTCCTAAGCACCATCTCAAGACAGGTTTCAGGCTGGGCCGTCATGATCCCATACGACTTTTAATACGATTTATATCGGCTACCTGCTGAGGGCAAAAAGCATTATTCGGCCGGAAATCCGAATTTCCCGGCGGAGCAATATTATCTCGGAAGACATTTCGTTTTCTCTCGTTTATCTGCGGGCACTTCCTCCTGTCGACCTTCCACTGATGGGCCTTCTCCCAGTCCTGAATCCATCGCAGGTCCTCCGTTTAAAGAGATCTTATCAAGGAACCACTCTGCCGTTCGGACCTATCGAGGGACGATAATCGACGAATCGTTAAGCTCGAGAGCTCTTCCCCTAATCAATGAACAATCGGTTGGCACTGCATTAAAATCCATTCATTAAGCCATTTCATACCTCCATTCCGATTCTTAGGCTGCACCGTGATACAAGAGATACAAGGTGTGCCGGCCCTTTTAATGGGCCAGTTACAGTACACTTCCAACGCTAAACTACGAAACTTCTAGGCATTTTTCATGTCCAAAACCCCAAATTAATTCGCCATGACCCTCGTAAACTCCCCAGTGGCATAATTCAATATGGCGGCGTTTCCGAAAACGCAGAATAAGTGAAAAGTAAACCTGCGTAAGCGCATTTTGTTTCCTTTGCATCAGGATCTCAGCCTTTATCGATATCGAATCGAATTCCCATAATGGTCGATTCATATCATCCGGTGAAACAAAAGAGCATGATATATTTATACTATCAGGATAGTCCAGACCCTAAATCTAAAATTTAACTTAATAACATTACAAAACATTCTTATTAGCAATGCCGGTCGGTACAGGTCTGGCACGCAACGTGTCCGACCGCTTCTGATTGAATATAAATACTCTGATAAATGTAAGTCAAAATGTCTGTACGTGTCCAGATGGTATAAGTAGACCTTTAGGAAATACTCTGCGAAACTACGTTCCACCTTTCTCGAGCGTCGAATACGCCTAGGTTCCCGTGGCTTCGAGCGATCGTCAAATGCAAGATAAAGTAAAAGGTGAAAAAAGGCGGAAATACGCCATTTCAGGGCAGATTTCCGAGCTTTTCAGCCCCCGCTTTCGCGAGAGTTCTCCCTTTCGCTCGGAAACTCCTTTCTAACGTAGTTAGCGACTCGGCCGCGCGTGCTGCTCGAAAATCGGGAATTACTTTCCTCTAAGTTGGTCAACGGCGCAATGGTAACGGGTGATAACGAGTCCCGGGACTCCGGAGTTCCTCTGCGAGAGCGAGGACTCCTTAGTCTCGAAATCGTCCTCACTCACGATAGCAAAGTCATCGTATTCCCGGTCTCAGACGAAAACCACATGAGGCTTCTGGGGCAAATGGCGCTCGAAATCCCTCTCGTAATCGTGGTCCACGGAAGTAGCGAAGTTCGCTCTATTAGCCGGCGGAGATTGCATTCGATAGAGAGATAGGACCTCGGGAGGCTCGTCCCGCAGATTGGTGACATCGGCCACGGCATATACTCCGTTCTCCACGGGTCGCTCGTACGAGTCGAGATCGCAGAGACTAGGATGGGAAAATCGAGGGGTGTCGTAGATATTCGATTCATGGGACCTCCTATTGACTTTGCCTCTAGGAAGGTCGTAGATGTTCTCCTCGTTTCGGCCGATCAGCCTCCTGCTGTAGGACTCGTGGTTCTTCTCCATCTCGTCGTGGCCCCTGCCCACGTAAACGAGGAGTTCGGGTCGGTTTGGGGCGGCGTACTCGTAATCGGCTCGTTTCCTCCTCTTGGACCGAGTGATATGAGCGATGAGCACGAGGATGACGGCAGTGGCCACGATACAGCCTGCCGCGGACAGGGAGAGATACAGAGGGCTCAGTCGACACCGAAGGGCAGCTTCTGGTAAAGAGACCAGGGGCTTGCTCAGGTTCTCCTCGTCGGCGCAGGCAATGTTCTTGGCGTCCAACTCCAGCCTGGACTCGTTCCGGCGCTCTTCGGTCCGCAGGACGTTCCACAGCCAATGCATCGAGCAGTTGCAGACGAAAGGGTTGCCCCCTACTCGTAGGGACTGCAGACTGTCCACGGGGAAGTGGGTGGGCTGCAGGGTCGCCAGGTTGCACCGCCGAAGAGACACTCTGCGCAGGTATCTGGCTCCGTAGAGGATCCTAGAAGGCAGGACCCTCAGGTCGTGGTTCCCGTCTAGAGAGATCCTTTCTAGGTTCACGTTATCGGCGAAGGCTCTCGCGTGGACGTTATCGATGATGCACTCGTCCAGGTCCAGGATCCGCAGCTCGAAGAGGTTGCGGAAGGCCACGGTCTTCAGGGAGCCGAGAGGGTTCCTCCTGAGGATCAGCGTGGTCAGGACGTTCAACTTGGCCAAGGCGGCGGTGGGCACGGAAGTCAGGTTGTTCCCGGACATGTCTAGGTGCAGCAAGCTGGACAGTCCGTCGAAGGCGTCGTCGGAGACGCTTCTGATGACGTTGTTCGCCAGGTTCAGGTGGACCAGAGACGGCAGCGACGGCAGGCAATCTCGGTCCAGCTCCTGGATCAGGTTGTCCGAGAGGTCCAATCGCTCCAGGCTGGGCGTTAGGACCAAGTTGCTGGTGGGGATTTCTAGGAAGGAGTTCTTGCTGAGGATCAGAGAACGGATCTTGTGGAGGTACTTTAGCAGGTCTTCCGGCAAACTGATCATCGAGTTGCCGCTCAGGTTCAACAACTCCAGCTCGCTCGTGAACCGGAAGCATTGCGGATCCATCTCGGTTACGTTATTGCCAGACAAGTCCAACTCTTTCAGGGCATCTAAGCCCTTCAATGCGTTTTTGTTTAACGTTCGTATCCCGTTGTAGCTGACGTTCAGCAGCATTAGGCGCTGTTGGAGGTTGAAGTTGTCGGAGCCCAATGTGTGGATGAAGTTCGAGCTCAAGTCCAGGCTCTCCAGGTTCCCGTAGAAGCCGAACGTGAGGTGGACGTTGGACACTCGGTTGTCGGAGAGGTCCAAGTGCCGGATGTCCGGGTTCAGCTGGATCGGAACCACGTCCAGACTGGCCCCGGCACAGGATGCTCGTAAGAACTCGTCGTCGCATTTGCAACGAGACGGACACAGACCACTCGCCATGGTTACAAACATCACGACCATAGCTGTACCAACTAGTGTCGTCGTCGACCAGGGTCTGCGGGATGTCATTCCATATGAACTTCGCTCCTACCGAGGTTGCCCTGAAAACACAAATACGATTTTAGGATCCCGCGGAACCAATAGATGTGGGATACAAGAAATTATTTTCCAGCGCATCCCGAGATATATCCATACAAGAATATAGACGCAACTCTTTGGTCTAGGAATTAGCGCGCTTAAGAAAAAGCGCGTCTCTGAAGGAAGGCATTCTTTTTGTGTAAAGTCAGTCGAGAGCAGCGAATCGACAGTTGTGAGTGAGTTTTGTTCTATCCAATTATTCGTTTTTCCGAATTGTATCAAGTTTTCAAAACTCAAAATATATCCCATATAAATATATCGAGCACAGAATTAGGTAAAAGACGTATCATCCCTGGAATATCATGGTAAGTTTGCAGCTCTTTTTGCAAAGCCTCGTGGGTGGCTGGTTATGTGACTTTGGTAAATTGCGTTCGGTAAATTACAGATATTGATTCGAGAAGTCCAAACTATTTGTGATTCCATGCATTTGGTACAATCCTTGGGTTGAATCTATTGCTCCTCTCCTCGCTGTAGGCACGTACAGGTGCTCTATGCACGAAATGTATGATTGTTTCAAACTTGACTCGCAGTACACGTCCTGCCTGGAAAGTGACTTCACCCGCGTTTGCTTGATTTTATTTCCGGCTCCAAGGGCTCGGAATTGAGCATGCTCGTTGCAATGAATTATAGAGAATTTATTACAGAGTAGAAGAGGTACGAGGGTGACCAAAAGATTAATGGCGACTAGCTTACAAATTTTGCTACACGTTATAAGCGTGGCATTTGCTTATGCTATTTAAGAACCCACATTGCTTCCCGTCTTTTCTTACCATGTCTCTGTAATAGATGGTATTGATGGCTACTTAAATACTCGTAATTATATTAATTGTCAATACTTATAATGCTACCATGCTTTTAACGAATCGAACGAAATATCGAAGACGCGATTGTATGTCAAGAGGTAATAAGAGGCCGAGTCGTTTAAACTGGATTAAAAGAACCTTTTCATTTGCCGTTTAAATCTGTTTCAGCTATAATCGGAGCACTTGTACCCTCTGCAAGCAAAGTCGATAACGAAATACACGGAAGTTCAATTAGGAAACGAGTCGCGATAACTTCAATCCGAGCCATTTTACCGAAACTCAGAGGCGTATTTAAGTAACTATTCTTCCGATCGAAACTTCCTCGCTAATTGGCAGGTGGAAAGAAAAAAAAATCTCTCCAGGGGCTCTCTCCGAAAGCACTAAAAATGTCATTGGCAAGAATGTCGCTGTGAACTTTGCAGCCCTATCCGGGGAGGCGCTGGCGATATTGAATTTCGATTATATTGGATATTCGATTATAACGGCACTAAAACCTTAACGTTCCATCAGAAAACTACAAAGTTCAAACTGAATTTAAACAAAAACTTTTGAGAACAGAAACTCCCGCTGGGACCATTTCTTACCGACTAACTTAGGCGATGTAATTTCATTGACGAATCCACGACTACTTCTTGCGAACCGGAAGTACGCCGAAGAAAAAACTCCCCCCATCCTGAGTGAAGTTTTAAGTTGCAGGAAAAAGTTAATATTGAATTGATGACAAGATTAAATTATTATTAAAATAGTTCTATGGTAAAAGCAGAGTTTCTGTAATCTATGAGGTATAGTCCTCAAGTAAAATCCGAGCTCAAGATAGAGTGAAACCCGTTGAGAATACGAATCGTCGTCGGTAAAAACAAATCCTTGTAAGTGATGCACAATCTAAAATAGCGCGTCACTTTATCACCATTTATATTTATATTAACAGCTGTGTCGTCCTGCATTGAGAATTGTACGGATTAATTTTTAGTACTCACATGATAAACCTAATCCTATTATGATACAATAATTAATTGCAGAGCCATCTGTTGCATTCAATGTCAACTAATTTTTCTTTCCGAGAGCTCGAGCACTACATATGTTACCTCCATCTTAACGCAGAAGTTCTCAAGACACTTTTTTGCTTTTATTACGTTCAAATGCATATTTCTCGATTACAAGAACGTACTAGATTATTGCGAACGGTCCTGACACTTACGTATCACACCTCTGAGTGCTTCAAAATTGCATAAAGATCGAAACATACGTTTTGGCCTAGTTTGAATGAAGTAAATTTGCTTTGAGAATGCAAATTTAAAAGTACCAGAATATTCTAAAGGTACTCCCGACTCGCGTAGGAAACTTTCAGACGGTTCAATAAAATACTCCCCAAAACAAATGTCTTATTAGAATTGACTGATCCGAGGCAGGTTTCACTTGAGCTTAAGGTGAAGTGAAACACGTCGAGGAACTTGATCGACGTCGATAAAGAAGATTTTTCTAAATGCCTACGTTGCCGACGTTCGTTTTTATATTGACAGCTGTGTCGAATTATATTGGGTATTGTACCAAATGGCATACTCCACCTGTCGTTTTCGTACAATAATTATAAAGAAATCGAAGTAAAACTCCAGAAATCCTCTGGATTCATGCTTTCTGGGGCCCTAATTGACTGCAGAGGGACCCCCTGCGCCATCTGTGATTTCCAGGTCAATTAAATTTTCACTCCGAGACCTCGTATTCCCATCGTTTTAGCATAGAAGCGCATACAACACTTTTTTTGCCTTTATCCCGTTCAAATGCGAGTTTATCGATTACCAGAGTGTTCTAAATTGTCGTAAAATTGTCCTGACCCTTTCGATTCTCATATCAGAGCCTTCGATAATTGTATATTGATCGAAATATGAGAGCTCGACGCCATTTTGGTTCTGGTCTGGGCTGAGTTAAAAAATTTTTTTGAAAAATCCAAATTTTCAATGTGTCAGGACAATTCTTAGATGATCAGGAGTGATGTGTCAAAGTTTCGGACAGTTTGGTCTTTTACCCTTAAAAAAAAGTGTTGTATTCGAATCGACTGATTTGAAGGGTGTTTCACTTCACCTTAAGCGGCGTTTAAATAGCCGTTGAAAAAAGTCCCAGTGACCCAATAACGAGGAGAAATGCGACGAGCTCGGAGCTTTCCGTGAAATTCCGAGGGCGGAATTCCTTTAGGGGCTCCTAGTCGCCATTATCCCGTAGGAGCATTCATCAGGGCCGGTGATCAGAGGAATCGATTCTCCGTGATCAGAGCTAGGTAGACTCGATAAATACTGGAAAATCGGCGGGGCGTTTTCGACCGCTCTGCAATCGAGCCGATGGTCCTCCGAGCCGAGAGTCGAGGCGAAGTGGAATGGACAAGCCCGTTGTAAAATAGATTACACGACGTGCGGATCCGATGAAGGCACCGGTACAAAGCATTAAAGCAGATTAAAACCAATCTGGGCGCAAGAGAGACCGACACACTTCCGGCGTTGCTTTTATTTCGCGAAATTGCCCGAGTGCGCGGCGTTACAGTCGTTTCGCGTGTCTGCCGATGGAACCGATTAACGGCGCCGTGTCTGGGAGTGCATGTGCAACGAGTCAGCTGGGATGGATACAGTTCCGGGTGATGCACCCTTGCCAATGGTACGAGTGTACGGATTGGATGCTACCCGGGATTTGCAGCCGCTGCAGCGACGATGCGACACGCCACTCGCGATTGACAATTACCGAATAGCGATATTTCAGGGAGCCCTCGCAAACCTGGGTCTATTTAGCCAACCCTTCTTTCTCCCGTTTCGTTTTTTAACGAGCTAACCGCAATAATCGTAACCGCAAATTATTATTTCCTCGCCTGATTCTGCTCCGCCCAGCGGCAATCTCGTTTTCCCGGTCCATACGGTGATATTAAGTGGATGAATCTTAACTGCACTTATTAAAGAATATTTCTATAATTTTAGCAATAGAGTGTGCTGACTTTCCTAGAAAAATGCTCTTAAAATTAATTTAATGTACCTTTAAGGTGTTAAATTTGTCATTTTACTGGAGTATTATGTATTAAGGTGAAGTGAAACCACCTTCGAATCAGTCGATTCGAATACAACACTTTTTTCTAAGGGTATTAGACCGAACTGTCCGAAACTTTGGCACATCACTCCTGATCATCTAAGAATTGTCCTGACACATTCAAAATTTGGATTTTTCAAACAAATTTTTTAACTCAGTCCAGACCAGAACCAAAATGGCGTCGAGCTCTCATATTTTGATCCATATACAATTATCGAAGGCTCTGATATGAGAATCGAAAGGGTTGGGACAATTTTCCGACAATTTAGAACACTCTGGTAATCGATAAACTCGCATTTGAACGGGATAAAGGCAAAAAAAGTGTTGTATGCGCTTCTTTGATAAAACGATGGTAATACGAGGTCTCGGAGTGAAAATTTAATTGACCTGGAAATCACAGATGGCGCAGGGGGTCCCTCCGCAGTGAATTAGGGCCTCAGAAGGCATGAATCCAGAGGATTTCTGGAGTTTTACTTCGATTTCTTTATAATTATTGTACGAAAACGACAGGTGGAATATACTATTTGGTACAATACACAATATAATTCGACCCAGCTGTTAATATAAAAACGAATGTCGGCAACGTAGGCATTTAGAAAAATCTTCTTTATCTACGTTGATCAAGTTCCTCGACGTGTTTCACTTCACCTTAAAGGCGTAGAAAAACAACGAAATCATATATTGCCAAAGTTGCTCGCGAATAAAGGATCAAGGCTGAAAAATGTGATTTCTTATATTTTGCGTTGGCAATACTATATGTGGGAAGTTAAAATATATTTCTAGGGTAATTGAGGTTGGGGCTTTTATTTGAGAATTTCTATCTGCCGGTAGACCGTAACAATCGTAATCGTAAATCATAATTTCCTCGACCGCGATTTGATTTGAATCCCGATTCGGACATATATAGTTATTGACGTTTGCATTGTGTCTGTTTGTAGTCCTGCGTTGAACGAAAACCGCACATTGCAAATTCTAGTTTCTGGGGCAAACACAATTTTCTCTTTCAACGGTGCGTGGTATGAAAAATTGTTACGGGTCGAAAACATTCGAGATAGTACGGGGAAC